GTTCTTTTAAACTATCTGCATCAGTTTCTTACCTATGCATATGATTTGATATTTGGTTTCACCCTAAGACGGGGTGAATTAAGGTGTTTGAAAAAATAATACAAATAAAAACTTAAGTAAAAGTAGGACCGAAAAGGAGAAGAGAAAATAAGAAAAAGTTAAGCGATTTAGACTGGTTCGGGAAATCCCTACTCTAGTACTTTAAGGTTCTTTCTTAAGGATTTAACCTCCAGCAACTTATTTGGCTTCACCAAGAGGACTCAAATGAGATTTGGAAAACACCCCATGCCAATGGGTAATGAGATTTTACAACGGCTATCTCTACCACTTACAAATGAAGATTTAAAGGCTATCTGCAAGCTTAAAACAAATGAGGATTTAAAGGCTATCGACACCTCTTACAAAACAATAGAAGTTGTGTTGCTTTTCTACCAAAGAATAAAATGGGTAGAAGAAGAACAAAAATAAATCAATAACAATATGTTCATGAGCAAGATAATAAATGATGAAAACCACAAAAGCCCTTAGTGTGTGTGACAATGTGAGTGCTGAAAAAGTAATAAGAATTAGCTATTTCAAAAGAGTAAATAAATATTGTAGAATTAATAGCTTAAAACACTCAATAATGATAATATGATAATAAGAGAGATTCTTAAAATGGTGTGGGGGGTTATATAGCTTAAGGAATGGTTAAAGTCATTAGAAAAATCTTTAGAGCCATTGAAGAGTCATTTAGAGTTAATTGGAATTTAAAATGAAAATTTAAAAAAGTGTCCCAACAGTTACAATACCTAGTCCTATAGGTATAGTAGGTACCGTTCCAATATCTAGCTATTTCCCTAACGATATGGGGTACCATCTAGGGTATCGCCACAATGAGGTATCCTCTAGCGTTTGTTGCACCAACTGCTACCTGTCCTGGTACTAAGATACCATTTCGGTATGTAGGTACCGTTCCAACTGTAAGGGGTACCACCACAAGAGGAAACTCGAATGGCGTACCTTCCCTTCCAGTGCCTGGTCTGGTACAAAGGTACCTTAACAATATCGGGTTCCGTACGGACGGTAGGATGGTACTATTAGTCTTATAACATGTCTAGCTAAAAATCGATTTTTTATTCCTTTTTCAAAACAACTAAGAACAATATAAAAATAATTTAATAAATTTTTTGAGTGTATGGACAAATGTGGTTCATCATAAATATCATACTCTTACATTTTATCTATCTACGTTCATTATAATGTCTTCTCGGTAAGATGAAGCAAGTTAAGTGAGGTTTGGCATTTGTTTTTGACCTGCAAAAGTGTTAGTAACTTGGAAGACTTATTTGGCACATCAAAACTTATATGAGGTTTGGCATTCAAGGCCAACAATCTCCCCCCTTTTATATTGACAAATAAGCCTTTCAAACATGCAAACAAACATTTTCAAACAAGTGCCATATATAGCCCCCCCTGATTTCATGCTTTCTAATGATTCAAGTGTTTCAACAAACTCCCCCTAAAATGAATATATAAGTTTATGAAGAATGTATAACCTTTCTTCTCCTTTTGGCAACAATAAAAAAAGGCGGGAATATCATGATAATATGTAATCATAAATCAGAGTTATAGCAAGCATACAACTGGGAGTTCGTAGGGTAAGAAAAAAACAGAAATAGAGTTATAAAATTAGAAATTAAAATGTTTGATCAATTCGCTGATTCCCAACACAAGTCAACGCCTCTTGGAGGATTTGTCGAAGGATCCTATGCGATGACCTTCCTTGATGTCTTCAAGCCTTATCACGCGAGCAGTGAGCAATTGGATGCTTTCTTGGATCTTTTGAAGTGGTTGGACAATGTTCTCGAAAATGAAGTTCTTGAGATTTTTGGAGGAGGACTTCGTTGAAGAGGATTTCTGCCTTTTCAAGATTTTAGAGGAAGAGGTATGGGTGGATTTTGAGCGTCAGAGCTTTGATGGTGCAGGTTCTTCAAGTTGTGGTCCTCTAGAGCTAGAAGGAATGAATGACATGGATCGCCCAGGACCATATTCCGCTCTTAAATCCTTTGGAAGGCTCTGAAATTCCTTCTTCATATAGTATGTTTCTCCAACCATCACAAGGCCGCAATATCCGAGGCATTCCGCATCAAGATACCGAAAGTGGTGGACAAAGATGTGTGTAAGAAGCATTCTACATGGCTTGTTTTGACGGGTTTGGCATTCATTCATGTGGGAGATGATCATAGGTGGAAAATTGATTTTCTTGCGAGTGAGGAGGTATTTGAAAAAATACACTCAAGCATCCTGACTAAATTGTCTTTGTTGAGCACGTGAATGACATTCTCTTTAAGGAATTTTAGGAGAATGAAGTTATTGCCAGCGAGATATTGAACAGCCGGGCGAGGGATGATATAGTATTTGTCTATGACTAGGTCAATAAGAATGTGGCTAAGGACCCTTAAACAAACATCGATGAAGAAGTTATCAGACTCCGCCATCCACCCCTTTTTGTAATAGGTAGTGGTTAAGACTTGAAGGGGAAGGTGAAAAAGGCCAGCAATGGTTTTGGGACTAAAAAAGACGGAGTGACCAGCAATGGTAGCGGATATATGCATATTTTAACGGTTGAGTTTCATGGTGCCGTAAAACTCATGGACAAGGTCGGGGTATCCGGAGCTTGGAGTTGAAGAAAGTGACTCTAATTTTGCTCTATGAAGAGTTCAAGGACGGAAATGGGAATATTATCCATCTTCAACACTCTTTCCTCGATAATGTTCGGGTGGCTATACGCCTTGAACCCGAAGTGAGTTTCGGCGAAAATAATTTCACTCATTTTAGAAAGAGAGTTTGAATTTGAGATGAGGAAGGGAAGGATTGAGGATTAAGAACCAAAATATTTGAAGAAATTGAGTGAAGAGAGAAGAATTACCTTGAGGATGCAGGTGTGTAGAAAGAAGACACAAGTTTTAGCATCATTTATTATAAAATAACTGATGTTATTGCAATTTTATTTTCAAATTCTGCATACCTAAGCAATTTTATAGCATCAAATAAAGCACATGTACTACTCTGAAGAGCTTCAAAAGAATCAAATATACTAAAATGTAAAGTGAAATTTGCACTGAATAGGACTAAAACTGTAACGCCCCGAAATCTGGCCCAAAAGAATTAATTAAATTGTCAGAGCAATTGATTACGAATTGGGCCTAAAAAGGGGTTAAAATTATAATTTGGATTTTAAGCCCAACTTTTATGTCATCTTGTAGGAAATATTTTTGTGATCGCGTCGGTTCAGACGGCTCGTGAATCGGAGTTACAGAGCTCAAGTTATGACAATTTAATCAGGTATTTTGGGTCCGAAGCCCAATCCTTTTTGGAATGGGACTATTAAATAAACCTAAACTAATTTCAGCCACAAAACCCTTATCTTCTTTCTTCTTCCTCTTCCCGTTCTCCTTCTTCCTTCTTCTTCTTTTTCTTCTTCTTTTTCTTCTCCTTCTTCTTCTTTCTTCTTCGTCTTTCCCGTCCAGCTTCACCGCCAGGTCCAGCCGCCGTCACCGAGACTCCAGAGCCACCGTCGCTCGCCTTCCCCAGCCTCGCCGCCTCATCGCCGACGGATTGCAGCGCCGCCACGCCGAGCGCCGGACATCGCCTCTACTGCCGGCGTCCTTCCTCGCCGTCGAGCACAG